CTTCATGCCATCTCCGTTCCACCACTGTTTCAGGCCCGGGGGGATTCATTCCTGTTCTCATTAAGCAGATCATGCATTTAATCAAAGTAAAATCAATCTTTTTAATTTACCTCACCACAAGTCTTAAAATATTGTTTCAGTAAAACTCTGCTAACTGCCTTCTTCTTCAGATGAAAGTGCGCATTCAGCGTCTGCTCTGCCGATAATGCAAGCGTAGAAGAAGAAATGTGCTGTTTACCTGTGCAAAGAAAGAAACAACGAAAAAAAAAATGTCTGAGGACTTCAGTGTTGAGGAAGAGCGTGAGTTCTTTGCCGAGCTGAATGCGCACTTTCATCTGGTTTGGTCTGCCGGCTTCCGTAGCGTCGTGAGCGCGCATGGGGGCGCTATTAGGAAATCCTATACACTACTGTTTATGCTCTAAAAACGTTCTAAATGACTTCGTTTCGAGTAAATTCTGGATGCTACCCACTCAGGACACTTGGAATACATTGGACGAGCAGTATGGAGGAATATTGACACGTTTATTGTGGACTTTTGTGGACCTTTCTGTCTCGGGCACCATAGACCTCCATTATTTGAATGTCAGCAGACAGCAAGAAGCCTCCCAGATCTCCAGATGCATTTGAGATATCAAAATAGTACTCCAGAGTGTTGTTCAGCATGGGGGTGAGTAGAAAATGAAGGCTAATCATGTTTTGGGTGTACTATTCCTTTAACCACTGGGCTGCCACTCCCCATACCTCAAATTTGCCAGGAGTATCCATTGAGCCTTGCCTGTATGTAGTTAGTATGTAAAGTCTGTTTTTTACAGTTCTAACTATGAAATATGAAGTTTCATCATAGATGTAATTTTTTAAGATAATTTAGATACGGTAATTGATAAGTGTTTGAACTTTTTTGAGATCTTTATTATTCTTTAAGTTTGCTCTGTTCAGGATATCTTCTCTTTAGTGAGAATAAAATCTTCAAACTGCCCATACTTGTCTGCCTCTTAGTCTGTCTTTGGATGTTCTCCAAAAAACAGCAGAAATATTGTCTGTTGATGCCTGATACTAGGTTGCTAATAACTGTTATTCCACTAGGTGGCACTCTAACCTCTAATATGGAGGCACAGTAAAACTTTGGTTCTAAAAAGTTCAAGAAAGTCATGTGAAAAAAAAATTCAAAACTGGATTCATACCTCCTTATTACATATTGGAACATTGTTTGCTGTGATAAAAGCTTTTTATTGTTATTAAATCTCCTCTAATCTGCTATGATGACACCCGGGTGTTCACAAAGAAATGGAGAATGCTTTAAATTTTATATAAATTATGTAATCAGAATGTCAGTTTTCTCTTATTAGCTTATTTTGTTGGGAAAAAAAATACAACTTGGATCTCCATCACAGATTTGTATGACATAAAATGTCATAATAATTATTGCTTCTATAGCATAGGAGGAATTGTTTTTACTAAGATTCTGATCCCAAGACAAATTTTGGAATAACTGCAAACAGAATAAGAACTATGAGGAAAGAGCTAGACTAAAAATAAAGTTACCAAAGCACACCTTTATCTTTATGTAATGGATCTGGTGCTATGAATGGGTGGGGCCTTAACAGTCTGACTGGAAATGACCAGGAAGGTTATTTTAGGACAAATTCCAATAAGGGTTCAACGCAAAATCTTGGCAAGATCTGTTATCTCTCCCTTTTGTGGTAAAAATGGGAACGGTTAAGGTAAATCTGTTTATCAGAAAAGATAACACGTGTTTCTTATTTCCTGTATCTGAGGTTAATGAGGATAAAATGTTATTAATCCTTACTAAAGTTTTGGGGAAAAAAAACTTTAAAGAATTAACAAAGTTGCATGGTGACATATAGCTCTTAAAATTGCTAAACAAAAAGCCATACCAACAATTAAAAAAATGCTCAGTCTTTCTTCCCACCACTGACAGGCAGGGACTTGTTGGCCAGTTTATGACAAAGATGACATCAGAACAATCCATGGACAAAATAATAATATGTAACTTATAATTTGTATAATTTTGTAAGATGTTCATGAAATTGAGAAGCTTACAAGAATGTTGACATATAGCATCCTGCACATTGAAAAAAGACACTTTGATTGTTTCTGTTTGTTTAGTAGAACCATTTGCTATTATTAAAAATACATAAATTTATTGAAAATGTTTGGTTTCCTAAGAACTTCTTAAACTTTTTTTTAACTATTGTGAAAAATACTGAATGTCTATTAAGTATGCAGCATACTATGGCATACATTAACGGCTCATCAATTAAATAATTTCACATTTTTATTCATTCTTTTATCAGTATTGCCCTTTTATTTTTTTTAAACCACGCCTTTAACAAAAATGAAACCAACTAACCTGTTTTTTTCTGCTACTGCAGTCACCTCACTGTACAGCTTCAGAAGCCTGTCAAAGAAGATACCATGGTGGTTCAGGTCCTCATCTGTTTTGAACAGAACAGAAAGTTTACAGTCGAAGTATGTCAGCATGAGAAGGAGCTGGCAGAGACTCCTGTTCAACATCTGAGACAGAAAATACAGGAGAGACGGCCTGACACAGGTAAAATGACCACATATTTATTGCAAATAGAAACATTCAGATATGAAACCGATAAAAGGAGGAGATTTCCTGTTTTAAAGGTCAGTTTACTGCTTTTTAAATCAGCATTTATCACTTTGAGATGTTGGCTTTTTGTCCTAAACCCACCGTCCCTTTAATTTGAAGAGAAGGTGTGCGAGATTTTTCTGATAGAATCATATAAGCTGTTTTTAGTTTATAATTTCCAGCCCAGCATATTTACACCATTATATGAAAGGTTTATTCATTAAAGCTTTATAGCGTATCACTTTCTTAATACACGTAATGATCCAGACTCATCTATGTCGTCTTTCTTTTTTTTTCCCTTAAAAGTCTTTTTTGCCATAAAATGATTGTGATTTATTTTATTCAGATTTTTATGTTTTTTGTTTTCTATTTTCAGAAAAGACTGATATGCGTCTGATCCACAAAACCCATACTCTGCAGGATGGACACATGTTGGCTGAATACCAGATAAAACACAAATCTGAGATTCAGGCGGTGCTGCGCTGCAAGTGAGTGCTGGATGGCTGAGCCATGGACCATCTCTAGCTCTTCTCCACCTCAAACCAGATCAACTTACACTAAAAATTCACTTTGAACATCAGTTACTTATTTTTATCCCCTTTAAATTAGAAGTATTATCATCCTAAATATATATGAGTGAGTATTTTTAAATGAAGATTGCATCTCTTCTCAAAGTCTTCCAGTCATTTATATTATTTACAATTTGGTTTTACAATAACATATACATGGTTTTTAGCTTATACTTTGGAAAGTATAAATAATTTGACTGTATGATCTGGTGAACTGTAAAGTACCCTGAGATGACATGTGTTGTGAATTGGCGCTATATAAATAAACTGAATTGATTTGAAAGGTTTTTTAAATCTTAGAAATACAGTTCAGTTTTTAAAAGTTGGGCATTTTACATTATTATTGCCTTAAATGTTGGAGTAATATCTCAGCATCACGGCAATGGCTGTGTTTTGTTTTATATTTCTATCTTCAATATTGAATTATTTCACTATTTGGCTGATGGTGGTCAGAGGGCCCGGTGGCGCCAGTGTACGGCAGCCCCCCTTCTGTCAGTGTGCCCCAGGGCAGCTGTGGCTACTGTGTAGTTTCCAAGCGATGGTGTGCTTGTGAATTACTGAATGATGTGTAAAGTGCTTTGTTCATGTGTCCTGACTTGGAAAAGCACTATATTAGTACAGGCCATTTAACATTTTTAACTTTCATAAATCTGTTATTTAGAAAAATTATTTTTGAGAATTGGTGTATTTGACACATTTTTCCAAAAATAGATTTTTTTAGATTTGATAAATTATTTTGTCAATATGTAATATGACATGCAAAATGAAAGAGTTAAGTGATGAGAAAATAACTGTAAAACAGTTTAAATGTAGTTACACTTTTTCATTTTACTTTACTAAACTAATTTAAAGATCAAAATAAATAAAGCAAATCTGCTCCAATGGTTTCTTCTTTTTCGTGTTCTGCAACATGGTGGTTTTTATTAATGCAAATCATTAGAAATTATTATATTAATCCTGACAGGGTTGCCACTATTATTGTTAATTTAAATACCATCCATCAGGGGCGGAGCTACCTGGGGCCAGGAATGGCCATGACCCCCCTTAACCAATTGTTGCCCACCCCTGTGGTCACCCCCAGCAGTTGATCCCATGTGGACATAATTCACAGCTCCGCTTAAACAGAGAGCTGTAGCAGTAATACTCTCAAGAAGGATGTTCTAACAAATTTTACATTTTAAATGTTCTTATATTAACTGAGAACAAAAATACTGCTAATAACTTGAATCATTATACTAACATTAAAGATGATAAAGATACAATCAATGCTCTTTTACAGAACTACAGTTGTTTTTATGTTTTAAAGGGTAAAGAGAAAGTTATGCTTCTCTGCATTTCATCTAGGAGTCTCCAATGTAATTAAAGATAAACAACAACTAAATCCATTAAATGTAAGTATTAATATACAAGTATTGATAAACGTGTAGTGGAAAATTTGCACCAGGAATGTAGGTAAGAAATAACAATAGACAAGATGTCCCTCAGCTGAAAAAGCTGAAAAAAGATTGTCCACTATACCCTTAATATAGACAGCATGGATGAGTAAATATAGGCGTTTTTGTTTTTATTTTTAATATGGATGTTGTGCTCTGTCTTTTACCTGTTTGAAAAGATTGAATCTGAGGCTCTGGCAGCTATCTACTTACCACTATAAAAATATTCTGGCCACGCCACTGCCACCCTGAGGGCGGCCACAGAAGGGAGTCACATGACTCATGAGGAGTAGGTTGACTGGAAACTGAAAGAGTTTCCTACATGCAGGGTTATTATTGTTGATTGTTACCTGCATCGCGGGAGAAATCAAGGAATCTCTCAGAATGGGCGCTAAAACTACTAAGAGATATAACTCCAGGGACCCTACAGTCCTTTCTGTGGATGAAGAGGATCAGTTTGACTGTGAGTGGCTTATTTAAGTTAATCAAGCCATAACAGTACATTCATTGCTTTGTGTTTGTTATCAGTAGTTTTATAGATGTCTTGTTTTAAGGACATGCAGCTTATATTTACATCCTGGATGATCTGATTAGATTTGTTTCTACAGTTTTATGTGAAGGTTTTGAATCTCCAAGAGCTCGGATGTCCTGCGGACATGTGGCCACTTCGATGTCTCTCAGAAAGTGGTGCGAACATTTGATGGAAAAGGTAAGGTAAATAAATAGTCCATTCAGTTCGTTCTTTTGTTTTTCTATTTCAGATCATTTTCTGTTTTTAAAATCGTAATGAAAAAAAACACATTCTGATCTATTTGAGCTATCTGGTCCATATTTCTCACTCAAGTAAATCTAAAACTTTCCGGGTTGTGATAGGTGAAATAATTGTGTAGCCTACTCGTCATAAGGACAAACATTGCTGATTAGTTGCTGGCAGATGATGGTTGTTGCTTCGGCTGAAAAACTGAGAAAATCGATAAATTATTAAGCATATTCTGCATTCATTACAAAACTATTTGAAAGTGAAATCACCATTTCTTTTATCGTTATTAGGCTCCAGATTTCTCACATATGAGAATCATACTGTTTACACGAAGCATAGCGTAAAACTGTAATGATAGAGACTGCTCAGTGGTTGCCATGGTAACTGCAGCTGGGATTCCCAGAGGGCGTGGATTTTCCAGCAATGATCATAAGCAGTTTAACATTGAAATAGAAACATGTTGAAAGCTGTCACTTATATTTAATGACCTGTTTGGTAGGATGGTTTAAAACGTAATGCGCCAGATGTGCAGGTCATGTTTTCAGGTTCACAGATGTGTTTAGCTATTTAGAAAAAAAACTGAGAATGATCCAATGTAGTTTCGCTGAGTTGTTTATTCTAACAGAGATTTAACTTAGGTCTTCCCGTTTTATTATTGTAAGAATAACTAAACTTCAGTTTCTTGTTTTTGGTTTTATTTATAAGAAATCTGTATTTTGTTTTGTATAGTTACTTTTGTAAATGCTTTAGTTATAATTTTAAGATCATTTGCTGTTGACAAAATAACATTACCCATTAAGTCAGTCTACAAAATTCAAGTAAAAGTAACAGGATTTAATACTGAATTATATTACAGATTCTTCCTTCTCTTTTTAAACAAGGTGAAATCCTTAGAATATCCACCCAAACATTTATCATATCAACATAAATTTGCTGTTTCTTTCCTAAAATCATAAAGTAAATTAATAAAAACAGCCAGTTTTTAAATAGAACTTAACTTGTGTGCGTTGGACAAAGGGATTCTGTAACCCATGGGTATCGAAGAGGGCACATCCACCCAGTCACAGGACCACACTGGAAAACAGGCCGATCTCCAACATCTATAAACAAGGGTGTTGATGGAAGCAGCACAGCTGATGTTTCTTTCAGGATGACGTCACAGCCATACAGGAACAGACCAGATGAAGCTACTCTGAGGAAAAGCAGAGAGAGCAGAACGTTAGAGATTGAACCGATAGATTCTGCAGAGTAGGAGAATAGAAAGAGAATGAAGCAGAATGATGAAATGGGGGTCCCTATGTCCTCCAGACGTCTAAGCCTATAGCAGCATAACTATAGAGATAGCTCAGGATAACCTGAGCCACTCTAACTATAAGCTTTATCAAAAAGGAAAGTTTTAAGCCTAGCCTTAAAAGTAGACAGGGTGTCTGCCTCACGGACTAAAACTGGTAGTTGGTTCCACAGGAGAGGAGCCTGATAACTAAAAGATCTGCCTCCCATTCTACTTTTAGAAATTCTAGGAACCACTAGTAAACCTGCAGATTGAGAGCGAAGTGCTCTGTTAGGAACATAAGGAACAATCAGATCTCTGATATAAGATGGAGCTTGGCCATTTAAGGCTTTATATGTGAGAAGGAGGATTTTAAATTCTATTCTTGATTTAACAGGAAGCCAATGAAGAGAAGCCAGGATAGGAGAGATATGATCTCTCTTTTTCATTTTCATCAGAACTCTGGCTGCAGCATTTTGGATCAGCTGAAGGCTTTTAACTACAGTTTGTGGACTTCCTGATAGTAAAGAATTACAATAGTCCAGCCTTGAAGTAACAAATGCATGGACTAGTTTCTCAGCATCACCCCTGGACAGGAGATTTCTAATTTTTGCAATGTTCCTCAGATGAAAGAAGGAAATTCTAGAAACCTCTTTGATATGGGATTTAAATGACAGGTCCTGATCAAAAATAACACCAAGATTTTTTACTTTATTATCTAAAATCAGTTTAATCCCATCCAAATTTTTCAAAGTTTTATATTCTTTATTTTGAAACCAAAGAAAATTGAAATAAAATGCTGCCTTTTGTAAGGGTTCAAGTAACTTGTGCAGCTCTATAAAAGGTTTATTTTAGCTGAACTGAGGATTAATCTTGCTTTTGGGTTGTGATGGTTTCAGACCTCAATCTTAACTGACAATCAATTTGTGTTTAAGTTGATTTATCCTCTTATTTTTTCCTTTTCCATTGCATTTTTGTTTACATTTAAATTATGCATCCCAAACGCTCAACAGAGATTCTTTTTGTTTGTTTGTTTGTAGTTTTATAGATATAATATTGATGGCATATTACTGACTGCTTGTCAGAAGGAATTTTAAAATCATAGATGGCTGAACTTCATTTCTTACCTTTATTTATTTTACTGTTTATTTAAAGGGAGAAAGCCAGTTTGTTTGCGGTCAGTCTGGCTGCGATGCTGTGTGGCCTTATGAAGAGGTCTGTAAAATGGCCCTCCTGACCCCTAAAGAAATGAAGTACTTTGAGAAAACTATGGCCAAGAATGCTGCCGCCAGAAACCCTAACTCTAAGTTTGTAAGTATCTGTATAATGACACAAAAAATGCAAGTATGCTTGAATCTGTTGTATATCGCTCTGTTTTTATTTCACCCTCCACACATTATCTATCCTGACAGTGTCCTGGATGCATGTCTCCTGTGACCAGAGGGAGCAGCTTAAACCTTTACGTTCACTGCAAAGTGTGCTCAGCAAAGACAGGACGCACCTTTGCATTTTGCTGGCAGTGTTTGAGGGAGTGGAAAGGTATGCAGCCCCGATCCGACCGCTGTGAAAATGATGATTGCCACAATTCTGCCCTGAAAACCCTGAGAGAGTGTCCAAAAATTAAAATTCAGACTGAGAATGGAGCAAAAGGGTGTCCGTCAGTCCGTGCCTGTCCAACCTGTGGCTCACTGATCCAGCACACCGGGATAGGATGTGAAAACGTTTCATGTCCTCGATGTCACATGCAGTTTTGTTTTGGCTGTCTAAAGAGCACTAATGAATGTGATGCAGCAATGTTCTGCAGTGGCATTGCTCCTAGACAGAAATATATACCTGTGTGGAACACAGAGTTTTATTAGGATTTTGTTCTTTACAGTTTCCCTGAGATTAACTGGGACACACACTGATGTTTAACTATTTTATTTCAGTAATAAGGAGCTGTTCTGAGTTATTTGATATTTCTTTTATGGTATTTGCCTCTTGTAATCCTGTACTATTAAATTATTGTTGATGCAGCAAAATGTCAATTTATCTTTTATTTATTCAATGACAAAATATTCTTCAGAATGTGATTTTGATCCTATGTTTATCTCTTTGTAGGTTATTGTTTTATCTTGAAACTTGTTGTTTCCTCCATAAAATGCAGGAACTTGGGTGTTTGGTTTGATATAATGCTCTACTTTATGAGTCTAAAAAGAGGTTGGAAAAACTTTCTTTCACTAAATCTCCTTAGGAACATTGTAAAAAGAGATTTTAGCATTTATTTAAATGTGGGGGATCTTATCGATACATTTCAGTGTTCATACTAGTGGTGGCTGGCCAATAGAGGGAGCGAGGGCGAACCCACCAAATGACATTGATTTAGATATTAAAAAAAACATACAAATTTTATTATAAAATTAAATATTTTGAAATATATTTTTTAGCTGTACCAGATAAATATATAATCTTTATTGACAAGTAAAGCGGTTTTCGTCGTCTTCGGATTGGTGACGTATTTCCACCCTAGGGCGCAAAAATCTTTGGCCATAGACTCTCATTCGCAGTAGCTCCTCTGCAATGCAAAAGTATAGACTAGCTCTAGGCGCAGGAGAGCTGTGCTTTGAGGTCACAGGAAGCTACGGCACCGTCGTAGTGTGGCTGATTGACAGGCCAAGTCGAGGAAGTTGGGAGACGATTGGAGAGAAAGACAGAAATGATGCAAGAAAAATTGACTGAAGTCCCTTAAAGCAAACTTACCAAGAGGAGGTGAAATCATTCGGAACTGATCAGCTGAACATCAAAATTAATCATTGCTCCAAAGACAGATGGAGACAGTACACTTGGTCATTTTCCAGGACCTGGTTTACCTATAAGGCTTGGCTATCTGCATGCAGTGAGGCTAACGCTTTATTCCGCTTTCCCTGCCTTTCTACTTTCATGAATAGACAAGTGGGACTGATTTAAACAACCTTTTAGAAAAGGCAAAGAAGATGTAACAATCTGAGATTCACATGGAAAATAATATAATGTAGTGTACTTTTTCTAGGTGTTTGTTAATTTGCATAGTATCTCTAAAATAAACACATTCTCAGAAAATAAACATTCATCCATCCATCTTCTTAGTGTTTGAGGGCCTGAAAAGGTAAACAGCCTCGGTATGGCAGATGTGAAAATGATTCTGCCCTGAAAACCCTGAGAGAGTGTCCAGAAATCCAAATTCAGACTGAGGATGGAGCCATAGGGTGTCCGTCGGTCCGTGGCTGTCCAACCTGTGGCTCCCTGATCCAGCACACCGGGATAGGATGTAAAAACATTTCATGTCTTAATGTCACATGCAGTTTTGTCTATAGAGCACTCTTGAGTGTATTACTGCACAAAATAGAGTTTATGGAAAATGCTCTTGTGTTGTTGTCCCAAGACAGAGGTCCATACCCGTGTGGCAGAGAAAATTTTAGTAGGATTATCTGGCTTGTAGTTTCCCTGGAACTAAAGTTGGAACACACATCCCTTTGTAAATAATATTTGCATTGTATGATTCTAATCTGTGTTATTTAATACTTTTTTTTTCATGTTATACTTCATGTAATCAAGAACTATTATATGACTGTTTTAGCTCTTTATAATGTAACTTTATGAAAGTTTGATCTCATTTAATGTGATGAATGCAGAATAGCAATCAACAATTTCTTACAAAATGAGAAGGGTGCTTTTTTTCTTGTTGAATAAAGACTGAAACTTGAAACTTGGTGTTTATTTCTATTTTTAGTGAAAAAATGTATGTCAAGAAACATCAGGTGGACCGATGGACAGAAATACAATATTAGAAATTGAAGCATTTAATGGAAGCTTTATGGTAAACAAGCATATGCAACAGGAAAATCAAACGTTTTGAGAGGATTGTGAAGCAAAGCCAATAGGTGAGAGAGTACGAGCTATGCATCTCTTTCATAGGGATCTTTGAAAACCTGGGTAGCCTACACAGGTGAAGATAATCTTTCTCGTCAGAGTGCTGGGCTTAAAAGAGCAGCAGAGCCATCACTCAGGGCTGGTTTCTTGTGTTGTTAATGTTGTTTCATTGCTTTCTAGTCTCTTACTTTCTACAAGTAGTTTTCCTGATGTTTATTGTTGTTTGTGTGGTTTTCAGTATTTTTGGATTTCTGCCTCAGTTCCCCTTGGACTTTCTTTAAATCATCACAAACTCATCTGTGCCTACTCCTCTCTGCATCTGGGTGCTCCACACAACCTGACATAGACTTTCAGTGATATTTACAACTTGTGGACTGAAAATGTAATCACTGATTTAAGAGCCATTGCACTACAGGGGACAGGCACCTGTCTGTCATAAATACCCATCCCTGCTTTAATCACCATGGTTTCAGTATCACCAGATCAAACAATTCAAAGCATTGAAACGCTGCTATCAAAGCAGTCTGTGCCTCCAGCGCCACAGACTGAAAGCAAAGACATTCAAAAGCCTTTGCTTTTTCTTTTGACATGAACATTCTTGCAGGAGTTTTTATTTTTTACTAAGTTACTGTTGTTAATTGTTTGTTCATAACTGCTTGCTCTACACAACAACCTACCCAATGGGAACAATAAAGACTTCTTAAACTGAAACATGCACAAAGTTAGAGCCCTAATGTTTTCAAAAGTTTAGAAAAAGTAACGTTTCAGTGACCATAATATCACCTAAAACATCACTGTGTAAAATATTGATATGTTTTTCTGTATGTTGTACACCTTAAACAGTCTGGGATCATATTGACTCAGAAGAACAACAATCCCTTCCCAGATGTGCAAAGGATATTGAAATGTATTTTCATGTGAATTTCATATTTACAGATATTTCACCATTGAAGCAGGAAAAGTCCATAAATATGATGCCAAAAAAAGAAGATTGTTTCAGATGGAGTAAACCACTGAATGGGATCAAATTGCCCCCTTTGGAACAGGACGGTCAACTGTTGCTGCAGTTGCTGCTCTGCTTTAAGTTTCAACATATAAGTCATCCAGATGTAATGTTTTGCTGAAATCTTTCTTAAGCTACCTGCTAAAAAGATAATCTAGCCCACACAACTGCAGCTTCCTATTATTTACATTTTCTGTCGCAAAGAAGAGCACAGTGTGCCAAAGCCTCCATCCTATCTTAAAATCCTTGAAATCTTTTCTGTAGTTTATGTTTACACACCTTTGAGTTGCTTGTCCTAATAAATTCATCCATGGTTTAATCCTATTCTGATTTTCACTCTGGCTGTGTTACATTTTTTTGTGTTTTTTGTGTGCTTAATTTTGCACATTGCGGTATCATATCAAAAAGATTTGCACTAAACCAACCAGTCAGACAACACAAGCATTTTTTGTGGGTACTTTCCAGCTCCTTACTTAGTTTTTGTTTTATTTTGTTTGGTGAGGTAACTAATCTTTATCATTTCTTTATCATTTCCCTTAAGTTTAAAATTTCTTCCTGCATTGCAAATGCAAGTGAGAAAGATCAAACAACATATTTTCCAGGTTCATTCCAGGACTGACTACTTTGTAGTGTAGGTGGAGTTATTCAAATAAATACAGAAAGCAGGCCGTCTACTACCTCCCTCTCTCTGCAGTCATAGGAGTGCCTTTTACTGTCTCTATATCAGCGATTGTTCAACCATAGAAATTCTTTTTGCAAAGTCGCTGTGAAGAAGAGCTGAATCAGTGCAGTCTTCAATGATTCAGTATGAAACAAGGTAAGACCTTCATCCCAACCTTCCAGTAAAGATGGGAATGAAAGCCGTCTTTTATTAATGTACCAATGTTTTATACCTGAATGTCCCACAGACATGAAGTACTATGGGTTGAGGAACCAAGGAGCAACATGCTACCTGAACAGTATTCTGCAGGTTCTGTTTATGACCAAGGAGTTCAGAGAGGCTGTAGAAAGGTTGGTTAATCAATCAAACACCATTTTTTTATGTTATATCTGTTTTATTTTAATGTAGCCTCTGTATCTCTGACAACTTTCTATTAACAGATGTCCTATAGACCATAAAGATCGCATTGATGTTCAACTGCATAGTTTGTTTGAAAGTTTAAAGGAAAGAACATCAGAAACCAGAGACGTAACAAGGAAGCTGGGGATAGAAAGAGGTAAATTATAAAATGCATTAAAGAATGATGAGCTTGTTTCTGGATTAGGGAGATAAATTAGAACTGGGATATTAAAATGTATAAGCAGGAACACAAAGCCTGACAAGCTTTAATGAAGATAAAATGAACAGCAACATTCATTATAATCAATATAAAGTTGCTGTATTTCATTGATAATTTTCCTCTATTCTCCCAGTGAATGAACAGTATGATGCTGGTCAGTACTTTGAGAAGATTTTATCTATGGTCAGTGATGAAGCATCAAAGGTAAATGATTCATTAAATCACTGTGAGATCAGGATGGAGACTGAATTAGAGAATCTGCATTAAACACAGATGCTTGTTTTCTATCAAAATGTGTTTTTAGGTATTTAAAGGAAACTTGACCCACAGGACTGTTTGTGGTGGATGTTCTGCACATACTGAAGAAGATGTGCCATTTTGGTATCTTTCTCTTCCACTGATGGATTCTAGTGATCAAAACTACAGCGTGGTGAGAAACAATCTGCAAACTGGAAACCATTTTATAGGCCAAACCAAATGTGATCTGGAACTATCAATAATTTATGATGCATATATTTCTTAGTAGAGACCAGAGGTAGGTAGTAACTACTTACATTTACTTTTGTGAATTTTAGGGGGGAAAAACTCTATTTTGAAGTAGTTGTAATTTACATTACTTTAAAATTTTTCTGAAGTAATATTCTTGTGATTAACTTGAGCTATTTGGAGATCGGGTGAATTAAAGGTTAACAGCAGATGCTGAAGTTCTTTATCTATTCCTGACATATATTCATAACTTACCAGTATTGTAAGTTTAAACTGAAAAAGTAGATTGTGAAAAGTGTTTCTTCTTCATAAATATGTTATATCTTAATCATGTTTTTATCTATTTTTTTTAAATCAATCCAATCCCTTTAAAATACCAGAATTTGCTCATAATTCTCTGTCTGATTGCATCATTTTAGGCATTAAATCACATGTTACAACCTAAGAGTTACTCAGTACTCAATTATGCATTATACAGAGTACTTGTTTAATCTTAGTTATTTCTTGGATGGTTGCTTTCTAGATTTACTTAAGCAAAAAATGTTAAAGTAGTGCTAGTCTTATTTGAGTAATATCTTGGCTAATCTACCCACCTGTTGTAGAAACTGTTGGCAGAGCATTTGTATCTGACATCACAGGTGGAAACTGTCTGTCAGGGCACTTTGAGTAACACAAATGCATTTTCAGGAGGACGCCATCGAGGAGTTCTTAAAGGATACAGAGTTTGATGGAGATGACCAGCTGTACTGTGATGAGTGTGAAGAAAAACACGACACTACTGTTGTAAGTAAACTAAAACTCTTTCGTGTTCATTTACAAAGCAGCTAAAAACCTTCTTAATTAATATTTGAAAACACTGTGGATTACCTTGGCTACGCATGAAGTGTGTCTATAAAGGTAAATATTTGATAACACAGTATAGAAGACTCATCTTTCCATTTAGGTTAATTAGGATTTCAGAAAATAGTTTATTTGGCAAACATAATAAGAAAGAATTCTTAAAGAGATTTATAAAATTTCTTTTAAGCCTTTGCTTGATAGACATTTTATTTGTATTTGGTTGTTTTGCCTTTGTATTGATTGATTGATTGATTTGATTGATTGATTGATTGTCTTTATTGATCTCCCAGTGGAGAAATGCACTCGTTATACCACCTCAAATAGTCAAAAACAGAATAGGTTTAATAGAAAAATAATTTTGCATAGGATATATACAGTACATACAGTGCATCCACATATGCCTTTTTTTTGTTTGTTTTTTTGTTTTTCTATTGTAGGATTATTATACAGGGTTATTGCACAGGGTATTTACATTGGTATTTATACAGATAGATATTTATATTTATATATATAGTTATTGCACTGGGTATCAAATAGTAATTGAACATTATACATTGCACAAGTTATTGCCGTGCAGTGTTGCTTTGTAGAGTCTGATGGCAGCAGAGATGAATGACCTGCGGCACTGCTCCTTTTTACAGACAGGGTGTAAAAGTCTTTCACTGAAGGAGCTTCGTAGCTCCTCTACAATCTGGTGCAGAGGGTAGAAGGTGTTGTCCATGATGGATGTAAGCTTGGACTGCACTCTCCTCTCAGCCATTTCCTCCACTTAGTCCAGAGTGCAGCTAAGGACAGAAATTGCCTTTCTGGCCAGTTTATTTTGTCTTTTTCTGTCCCGCTCTGCGCTGCCAGAGGCCCAGCAGACACCAGCCTAGAGGAGGGCTGATGCCACCAGAGTCATAGAAGGTTTTAAGCAGGGGCCTGCTCACTCCAAAGGACCTCTGCCTCCTCAGGAGGTGGAGGCGGCTCTAGTACTTCTTATAAAGGGCGTCAGTGTTTTGAGTCCGGTCCAGTTTGTTATTGAAATGAACATCCAGGTATTTGAAACTATCCAGCATTTCTATGTCCTGCCCCTGGATGTTCACAGGGGAGTGAGGTGGGGGTCTTCTCCTGGTGTTAAGACACAGGTGGTTCTTCTCACACCAGTCCACAAAGTTCTTGATGACCGATCAATACTCCAGCTCGTTCCCCTCAGAAACATTGCCTACAAAGGCCGAGTCATCTGAGAACTTCTGGAGATGACAGCTGTTCGTGCTGTAGCTGAAGTCAGAAGTGTTAAGGGTGAAGAGAAACGGGGGACAGTCTGTAGTACCGACTACTACAGACTACTACCTCTGACTGACAGCTGTGCAGCCGCACGTACTGAGGGCGTTCGGTGAGGTAGTTGATGGTCCAGGCAGAAAGCTGTCTGTCCAGCCCAGCGTCCTCCAGCTTCTCCCTCTGCTCTGATGGTGTTGAAAGCGCTGGAAAAGTCAAAAAACATGACTGACTCTCACTGCGCTCCCACTGGTCTCCAGGTGGGTGAGTGCCCGCTGCAGCAGGTAGATGATGGGATCCTCATTTTCCCATGAGACTGGGTTGTGTCAGGTTGGTAAGCAAACTGCAGCGGGTCTAGCTCATCAGTTTTCCTTAGCTGGTGTAGTTGAGTCAGGTTTGTAGGCTGCCTGAGCTTCTTACATCATTCAGCATCACTAGTTAATGCTGAAATTGTGCTAAAACAATTGTCTAAAACAATGACTGTGTTGTCCTTAATTAACTCTCTATCTAATTCAAAGTTAGGATTAATGTCAAAGTTCATTTGGAAAACAAATGTGTCTAAGCTGTAAGTTCTTGGCTGATGTTGCTTCAGTATTTGAATATAATATGTTGTTATGATTCCATCAATTTGCTTAAATGCACCAGTCCCTCCTGCAGTAAAACACCCCCATGCCGCCCCTTTAAAAAAGTTGAATTTGTAATCCTTATGAGCCTAAAACAGGAAAGGTTTATTTTTTAATAAATTTGGGAATATAGTTGAGTTTTACATAGAAATATATGGTATTAACTGTGTTCATTATCTTGTGTTTTAGAAAAACAAACTAAAGCATCATCCAGAGGTTTTGATGCTGCTGCTGAAGAGGTTTGTATACCAACACAGGTCATACATTAAAGATAGCCGTGCTGTGGATGTTTACTACACCATCAACGTACCTGAGGTATATTTCACATTTTCGATCATTGTCGATTTCCTTTGCACTTTTAAGATCATTAATGTGTGTTTCATTGTTCAGAATCAGACATATGAACTGTACGCATTGGTGGAACACTTTGGGACTTTGAAAGGTGGACATTATACAGCAACAGGGCCGTGCAGAGACCACTAAAGGGGCAGGTGCTCAAAAAAAAAAAAAGGGCACATTTTATCGCATTTTAGGACAGAATATTAACAAAGTCACATAGCTTTCAGAGTTTAATGAACAATGATAAATTACAAAATTGTGAGACATACAATCAAAGCTAAGAGAAATCTCTACATAGAACATAGAACTATGCATATGTAAAATCTTTTATTACTAATTTCTTTCTGCAGGTCTATTTTCTTATAGGAAAGTATTACAATATTCAAACCTGCAATTTAGCCAAAGATGTAAATCAGAGCTGGACCACCAGACATATTTTGTCTTTACAGAATTAAACTGTTAAAAATGCATACAAGGGCACAATGCAACCTTTTAGTGTACTGTAATCTATAAAAAGAATGTCTGCCTGGTTTGCTGTACTGACAGTGGAGATGGAGACGGTCCATTCAGAAAAGCAGAGCTGCTGCATCAAACTTTAACGTGGAACTGCAGAAAAAAAAGAACAAAACAAACATTTTATTAATGCATGTCACCATGAGAAAAGCCTACTCTGTTTGTGTCTTAGTGTATTTTGTAAGTACCTATATACATTTTCTTCAATCTTTCCCCTTCGTTTTTTCTTGTCAGTTTCTCTTTTCTTTTTTTTTCCTCATTATCTCATCTTTTCTGTGTTGAGTGAAGGTCAATGTCTTATTTATTTCAGTCTCTTGCCTTTCTTTTCCCCCAAACTAAATCCAAGATTATGATCCAAAAACTTATTTTCCGTCATGGTGATTGTACTGTTTAAAAACAAATTTCCAACTTTTAAGCATTTTTGCTATTTTTGTTCTCTTTTGTTCACAGCAGCAGTTTTCTGTTAGCCATGTCTTTAAAAATGTTAATAACCTCACTGTGAATGATTGGCACATCCTTCTCGATTGCCAACAAAAGAAGGTCTGACAACCGATCCTCCTTGCATAAGCTGCGCAGTTTTGTTTTCACCAGCTTCATACATTATATCTATCATATATCTATCATAGTAGTTCTGGATGAGTTCTCCTTCAAGATACATTTACTTAACGCTAGAATAAATTAAATGTACATCATGCAGCAAAGGAAATTAGAAAATCAGACATATATCCGTTATGGAGATGATAGGTTTTTGACGGGCGATGTGCCCCTACTGCATAAGTAATACTGAAGAATGTCCTATTATCATTAACGACACAGGGAAGCTTTTTAGTTATCTTGCTTTGCTAGCAAAGTCATTAGCTAGCAGCTAGCTCATAGCACAAGAACAACAGCCAGTCTGTATGATAAAAATACTGAATCGATAGATAAGAACAGCTTTTCCTCACCTGGCTGTCTCCTCCCGCTCAGTAGTTCTTCAGAGAAAGGCGCGCCGCATCCTATACTTTCCTCCGTTTAAACCGCTACTCTTTGCTAAAGTAGAGAAATTATACAACGTTTAAAGTTTTCCATTGTCTGACAAGTAGCAAGCCTACTCCAGTATTTTCACCAAAAATTATGTTTTTTTAATTCACAAAAAAACATGTCTATTCAGGTTGACATTGGAGAGGCGGCGCAGACTGAAGACAGCCATCCGTCCGATCATGGTTGATCTTGCTTAGGGCCAAATGAGCAGCGGCCACAGTTTAATGTGGAATGTTCGCTACATTTAGCTCCGCAGTTAGGCGCCTTATCTGACTGTGCGAGAGGCAAGTGCATCATCACCGGCAAAAGGTCAAGGGTAACAATGTGACCGGAGGGCTTATTGTATTGTTTTTCTTGCCAAAAAAAAGATAATAATAATAATTTCAGTACATGTGTCAAATAAAAAAAAAAAAAAAAGAAAAAAAAAAGGGCACATTGGGATCATGGAGCAAAAGGGGCAGGTGCTCAAGCCCCCTTAGCCCCCCCCCTCTGCACGTGCCTGGATTTATGGTTTTCTTTCATTTAAATGTTAGTTTTATGCTTTGCATGTTTGGAGAGGAAGATATGATTTGTTTTTCTTTGTATTTTCTTCTTGAGCTTTGCATGTTTTGATGTTTCTTTTTTATATGATTGTTTTCCTTTGTTTTAGACTTTTGAATTTTTCCTGCATGTTGGGTTGTTTTGGTTTGTTTTTCCCTTGTGACAATCCATGCGCACTGGACTGAAGTAGTTGTCTGAGGAGGCGGAGTGCATTAATTGCGCTGCGTAATTGCTGCGCTCAGGTGTGAGCAAGGGCTGATTAAAGCCGACATAAAAGGAGTCTGAAGGAAAGGAGAAGGAGAACGCACCAGAAGCAGTAGAACAAGCGGAGCCCAACTTCCAGCCTCTGATTTTTAAGGAAAACTCTTGAATTTTAGGTTTTATCAGGAGAAGAAAAGGACTGCTTTATTATGCCACTTTTGCGGTGGCTTTTTGTATAAATAAAACACTTGAACTTGAGCGCTTCACGGTTTGGGTCTTTGAGTTGTTTGCTCCCCCTTGTGTCAAAGATTGAGTGTGGGGCCATACTGGTCAGAATTGCTACTTTTTTTTTTTTTTACCACTTCTGTGTGCGGGTAAGGCGAGCGGCGATCAGTCAAGTTAGTAAAACAAAAAACACTTGAATAAGTGTTTTTACACTGGAATAAATTATTGTTCACAAGTCGGAAATCACGAGTCTCAGTCGAGTCTGAAGTTCTTCAAACGCAAGTCTAAGTCGAGTCTGAAGTCATTAAATATGCGAATTAAGTGCGACTCGAGTACGAGTCACAAACTCGAGTCCCCATCTCTGTTGAGTCAGCTCTGTGCCATTTTGAAACCCCTGAGTCAGCTCTGTACCGTTTAGAGACCCCTGAACCAGCTCTGAGCAGTCTAGAGACCCCTGAGCCGGTTCTGAGCCGTCTAAAGACCCCTGAGTTAGCTCTGAGCCGTCTAAAGACTCCTGAGTTAGCTTTGTGCCAACTAGGGATCCCTGAGTTAGCTCTGTGCCGTCTAGAGACCCCTGAGTTAGCTCTGTGCCGTCCAGAGACCCCTGAGTTAGCTCTGTGCTGTCCAGAGACCCCTGAGCAGAACTTTAAAGAGGTGTCAGAAATCGAGGTATGTGATTTTACGCCTCCTAGGACCTCTCTACAGGCACCCCTGACCACCAAGAGTCCTCCGCAAGCATCACAAGCCACTTCAGAGACTGAACCTTTGCCGCCATGGGCGGTTTCTTCCATGCTGGATGTGGAGCCACAGTCGGTGGTCTCCTCTGTTCCTGATGTGGAGCCACAGTCGGTGGTCTCATCTGTTCCTGATTCGGGGCCACAGTCGGTGGTCACCTCTGTTCCTGACCCGGAGCCGCAATCGGCGGGCTCCTCTGTTCCTGACCCGGAGCCGCATTCGGCGGGCTCCTCTGTTCCTGACCCGGAGCCGCAGTCGGCGGTCTTGTCTGTTCCTGTCCAGGAGCCGCAGTCGGCGGTCTCGTCTCTTCCCGTCCAGGAGCCGCAGTCGGCGGTCTCCTCTGTTCCCGTTCAGGAGCCGCAGTCGGCGGTCTCCTCTGTTCCTGTTCAGGAGCCGCAGTCTGCGGTCTCATCTGTTGCTGTTCCTGAACCGCAGTCGGCGGTTAACTCTGAGCCTGTTCCGGAGCCGCAGTCGGCGGCCACCTCTGGGCCTGTTTCTGAGTCGCAGTCGGCGATCTCTCCTGCTCCAGTTCCAGAACCACAGTCGGCGGCCTCCTCGGACTCTGTTCCTGAGCCGCAGTCGGCGGTCCCTGTTCCAGAGCCGCAGTCCGCGGCCCCCTCTGAGACTGTTGCTGAGCCGCTTAAGAGGGGACGGCGTTCCCCTTGGG